AACAGTTTTTGATTTTTAACTTCCCGTAGGGTAAGTTATTGTAATATGCCGAAAATCGGAATTGAAAATTTTTACATTTCTCGACGTTTTGAAGGTTTCTGAACGTTTTGGCATACCTCAGAAAAAATGGATGTGTGTGTGTATGGATACAAATTTCCAGTCACGTTTTAGGGCACGGATTAACCGATTTGAATGGTTCAAAAAACATTCGATTTCTATTGATAGGGAAAAGAGCTGATTAGTTTTTGGCAAAGGCAGGTCCAGCCGTATCAGAGATACGGAGCAAAGAGTGCAGAAAATAGAAATCGAATTTTTGAGAGAGCGAAGTATCCGATTTGAATGATCTAAAAAACATTCAATTAGTAATGATTGGGCGAAGTGTTTTATTAGTTTTTGGCAAAGGCAGGCCCAGCCATTGATAGATACGGAGCTAAATATGTAAAAAATGGCAGTTTTTGAGAGAACTAAGCGTCCGATTTAAATTATTCAAAGAACTTTCTGCTTGTCTTAACAAAATAATTGATTTTGGAAAAAAAATTTTGTTCCAACTTTTTTTTTTTTAGTTTTTTGGATATCGAAAATATTTCAGATTTTATTTTTAATTCTGACTATAGTTCTAATATACTTTACAAATAATTTCAACTCTGCAATTCAGTTTATATAAATCTTATAAATATTAGACAATGTTACAATATTTATAATAATCTATTTGAAAACATTCAGTATTCCTCGAACATTTCGTTACGGTACGAGAAGTTCCAGCAATTTGCCTTAAGGCACGATGCCATAATTGCCTCAAGACAGAATTCCACTTACAGCTAGTTTAAAATCGATTCGGTAGTATGAGCTTAAATGTGGACGAAAAGTTTAACACTTTTTTTTAAATTACAAAGTAACGGCTTGGCAGATCGTCGTTCAAAACTGACAAACGATAGTCCTCATCAAGATATATCAAATGGCTTTTAAATTTCTGAAATCGGCTCAGGCATTTTTGAGAAAACGTCGATGAAAGGTCTAATTTTGACAAATGCCAAAAAAACGATACCAAGTTTTGCAAACTTTGACGAATTTTTAAAGTTAAACCAAGCCGTAATATTTTAGTATGATCTAGAAGACTATGGTATCTACAGTCAAAAAAATAATAATAAAAATCGTCGAAAAAATTTTTTTTAACACTTTATTACAAGAAAACGGCTCGGCCGATTTTTACCAAAAACTAAGCAGCACGATTCCCAACCAGTATCTATCGAACGGTTTTTGAATTTTCAAGATCGATTCAGAACTGCGGGCTAAAACGTGGACAAAAAATTTTTCACTTTTCTGCTATTTACAAAGAAACGGCTTGGCTGATCGTCGCGCAAAATTGATAAACGCTAGTCTTCATCGAGATACATCGAATGGCTTTTAAATTTTTGAAATCGGTCCAGCCATTATTGAGAAAACGTCGATTTACGGAAAAAAATCTGTTCACACACACACATGCTTTTTCCAAATTTGGTCTGATTCGATTCAGAATGGCTTGAAACGTGGAGATAACATAAAATTAGCGAATCGTATTTTTTGATGAAAACATAAACTCCTCCTTCGGGAAGTTAACAATTGCCCATCTATCCTTTACCCAGGTGTGCCTCGTCTTCTGCTCCAATTTCTGCAAGTTGTTGCTGTTTGGCAACCAGGGAGTCCAATAGTCGTCACTTTTGGAGCAAGAATAAATGGAGCAGCAGAGCCAAGCAGCATGCCTCCAATAAAAATGAGAAGATTCTGAGGGCTCTCAGCAAGGAAAAGGTGTCTCAGGAGGATGCTGAGGCTGCTGCAGCAATGGCCAGCTGCGAAGGCATCAGAGACGGTATGTAAATGGTAGATGGTAAAATTACCAGTAAGATGGTTATTGATGCAAGATTGATGTTTTCAGAGCAACAACAGAAGTTGTTTCACAATTATGGAGCAATGCACAAGTTGGAGAAGTACTTGTCCTTCAGAAAAGTATCCAAGTAAGTATTAATATTCAACAGAATGTGGAATTAGATATTAGTTTAAATTTTGAAGTAAAGCTTCTAATGCAACTTCCAATAAGGTTGCGCTAAACGTTCAGGGAAAAGTATAATGTTGTAGGATTTGTGAAACTGTTTTAAAAGTTGTCTGGTTTTGTGAAAATGTTGTAAGTTGTCGGACAATGTTGTAAGTTGTCTGAAAATGTTGTAGATTGCCTACAAATGTTATAATAGTCTGGCAGTTTTGTACATTGTCGTTTGAAATTGTCGGAAGATGTAAATTGTCTAAAAATGTTGCAGATTATCTGAAAGTATTGTAAGTTGTCTGAAAAGATTTTGGATTGTGTGGTAAGTTCTAAGTTATCTGACAATGTTCTTAGCTGTCGGACAATATTCTTAGTTGTCTAAAAGTGTTCCCAATCGTAAGTATTAATATTCGACAAAATATGGAATTAGATATTTGTTTAAATTTTGAAGTAAATCGTCTAATGAGGCTTCCAACACGGTTGTGCTAAACAGGGAAAATATAATTTTGTAGGTTTTGTGAAACTGTTTTAAAAATTATCTGAAAATGTAGTAAGTTGATTGATATAGTTGTAAGTTTTCTGCCAATGTTATATGTTCTCTAAAAACATTGTGGATTGTCCAAAAATATTATAATAGTCTGACAGTTTTGTACATTGTCATTTGAGATTGCCTGAAGATGTAAATTGTCTGTAAATGTTGCAAGTTGTCTAAAAATATTGTAAGTCAAAAGGTTATAGATTGTCTGATAACATTTTAAGTGTTCTGAAAATGTTCCAAGTTGTCTGAAAATGTTCCAAGTTGTCTGAAAATGTTCCAAGTTGTCTGAAAATGTTCCAAGTTGTCTGGCAATGTTCCAAGTTGTCTGGCAATGTTCCAAGTTGTCTGAAAGTGTTTCAAGTTGTCTGAAAGTGTTCCAAGTTGTCTGAACGTGTTCTAAGTTGCCTGAAACGTTTTAAGTTGTCAGACAATAATTTTAATAGATAAGTTCTTAGTTGTCTAACAATAATCTAAGTTGTCTGACAATGTTCTAAGTTATCTGACAATGTTCTAAGTAGTCTGAAAAAATTATGTAAGTTGTCTGACAATATTCTAAATAATCTAAAAGTGTTGCAAGTAGTCTGAAAGTGTTGCAAGTAGTCAGAAATCGTTCCAAGATGTCTGAAAGTGCTCTAAATGGGTCTGAAAGTAGTGTTTCCAGTTGTCTGAAAGTGTTCCAAGTTTTCTGAAATACTTTGAAGTTGTCTGAAAATAGTTCCAAGTTGTCTGAAATAGTTTCAAGTTATCTGAAATTGTTCCAAGTTGTCTAAACGTGCTCTTGTAAGTTGTCTGAAAGTGTTCCAAATTGTCTGACAATGTCCCAAGTCGTCTGAAAGTGTTGCAAGTCGTCTAAAAGTATTGCAAGTCGTCTAAAAGTGTTGCAAGTCGTCTAAAAGTGTTGCAAATTACCTAAAAATGTTGCAAGTAGTCAGAAATAGTTCCAAATTGTCTGAAATATTTCCTAATTGTCTGAAATAGTTGCAAGTTGTCTGAAAGTGTTTCAAGTTGTTTGAAAGTGTGCCAAGTTATCTGAAAATAGTTCCAAGTTGTCTGAAAATAGTTCCAAGTTGTCTGAAAGTGTTGCAAGTTGTCTGAAAATAATTCCAAGTTGTCTGAACATAGTTCCAAGTTGTCTGAAATTAGTTCCAAGTTGTCTGAAAATAGTTCCAAGTTGTCTGAAAATAGTTCCAAGTTGTCTAAAAATAGTTCCAAGTTGTCTGAAAATAGTTCCAAGTTGTCTGAAAATAGTTCCAAGCTGTCTGAAAGTTTTGCAAGTAGTCTGAAAGTGTTCTAAGTAGTCTGAAATTATTGTAAGTAATCTGAAATTATTGTAAGTAATCTCAAAATGTTGTAAGTAACCGGAAAATGTCGCAAGTAGTCAAAAAATATTGTACATTGTCCAACAATGTTGTAAATTGTCTAAAACTGTAGTTAATTGCCTGAAAATATTCTAAATTGTCCGAAAATGCTCTAAAAAAAATTCTAAAATGTAAAATTTCTGAAAATGTTCTAAATTATCTGAAAATGTTGCCAAGCATCTAAAAATGTAAGCTATCTCAAAATGTATTTGATTGTCTGAAAATGTTGTCAAGCGTCTGAAAGTATTGTAGAAAACTGTTATAAATTTTCTGAAAAGATATAAATCTAACTTGAACTATAGTTGATGCAACTTTTACAATAAATGTTCAGGTACATTCTCCATGCACATTTTTCTATTTCCTCCTGAACTTAATCCAATTACGAAAATCCTTATTATCTTTCCAACAGAAATCTCAAGCAGCCCAACATAAATGTCGTCCCAAGCTATCAAAGTTATCAGATCCTACCTGTTCTGGATTGTCTCCCAAAGAACCAAAAAATCTCAACAAGAACCTTTCAGTATGCAAGCAAGTTCTTCTAACCCTGAAGAATGCCCTTCGAGGAGAGGAAGAAACATGGAACGTGGAAACACAGACCAGCAAAGCAGATTCCAAGACAGAAATAACAGAAGAGGTAAGATCATCAAACTTGGCAATCTTATTAATTCTTTACATATAATTATTTTTTACCCAAGGTTCGAATAAACTGGATGACCAGCATTGTAGAATCAGCACAAGCGAATGTGACGATATAGAAAAAGGTATCTCAACAGAATCTATTGATGCTGATGTGGATGATATAATTAAAGGTATGCATTTTGCTGCAATCAGTGAAATTGATAATGATGTCGAGATGTTTCATGTGATGGGAAATTTGGAACAGAAGGCCATCAATGGGGATTGTGCAGATGCTAATGAGACTGCTGATGTTAATGTGGTAGTTACACGTAAAGATGACTAGTTGTTAACTAAGTTATAAAAATTTAAATAATGTTTCGGTAGTTTTATTATTTGTTGTAAATGACTGAGTTAATGTATAGACGTTAACCGATTTTTAAATAAATTTATAAATAAATATTTCACTTACCATTGACGGTGTATCACTGGAATTTCTTCCTGAATGAATCCTTAATGTAACATCACTGTTTGCCACAAACTGTCCTGCAAAAACAATTTGTTTATATTACTATACATCTCTTATCTTCTATATATATAAAAATAACACGGGTTTTCCTTCCTGACGAAATAACTCCAGAACGCACGAACCGATTTCGACAATTTTGCATTCGTTGGAAAGGTCTCGGGCTCCGCAAGGTTTATAGCTAAGAAAATTAGTGGTGCATGGCATCGTGCCTTAATGCAAATTGCTGGGACTTCACGCACCGTAATTAAAAATTCGAGTAATGACATTAGTGAGAATCATCATAATTATGCTTGGTCAAGTCAACGAGCAATTCTTTCCGCAAAGAATAATGATGTACACGCACTGAATTTCAGCGTTCAATCAAAAATTGCTAGCGATTTGGTGACATACCAATGATTCCGACTGGTCTTCCGTTTGACTTCAAACGATTGCAATTTCCAGTTCGCCTTGCGTTCGCAATAACAAGTCGCAAGGCCAAGGCGGTTTTTGCAGAATAAATTTCAAATAGATTATTTAGAAAATCATTGTTTTTCACATGGGCAGTTATACGTTGCCTGTTCATGAGTTGTAAAACCATCCGCTTTGTTTGTGTTAACGTCAGACCAAAAACAAAAAATGTGGTTTACCAAAGAGCACTTCAATGAAACGGATAATTTGCGGATTCACTTTCATTTACTCAAAATTAGAGAAGTTCAACTAAAAAACACTTCATTTTTGTAATCGAAATAAATTCATTACTGTTGTGTAATAAAATCAAATTTTTCCTTTTCAAATATAAGACAAACAAAAAATTTCTTCATCTTTCTCACGAATCTATCTGGTGGCGAAACGGAGTTCGTCGGGTTTGCTAGTTATTTATATAAATTATTAAAATTATTGTTCAAGATCATACAATACTTATTTTGACAAAACTTTGATGAAGATGATAAATTTGACACCAAAAAACTTGGTCAGAATAAGGTAAAGTAATTTACAACAATTGCCAGAATTATATCCATCTAACAAAGACTTATAATCATTTCTGCAGAATATTAGGTGCAATATAATAAATATCAACAAACTATGTGACCAATTAACTGAATTTCTGACCAATCTATGAATTTAGCTATTTATTTACTATCCTCGAACCTTTTCTAATGGCCTCAGCATGATTCCTAGCCACTCGATAAATCAGCAAGTACAAAACAATAACAATGCAAGCTGGTATATAGAATGATCCTGTGGCACTGAAGATCACATATCCCAATTCTTTATTAACATGACAATCTGCTCCTGTGTGATGACGATGAAAGGATCGAGGATAGTAATGACCTGGAAAAAAGAAATAAAAACATTAAGGAGGAATGATATTTTGCTAACACAATCTAGAGAGATATTTATATTATACATCAAACTGATGAGTTATAAAAGATCCTTCACTGATACTTTTAAATAAATTTTCTTCAAAATGTAGTAGAGTCATTAAAAAATCTACATTCGTGTCAATGCTTGCTAATAGTTATTTAAGCATAGTTTTGATTTCTTTAGGATTTTTTAATTATTTTTATACTATTGAAGTCGTTTCATTAAACTTTGGTTGGTTTTACTAAATTGAGTTGCAATCTCAACAATTAATTTGACAAATCAGATTTCTATATATATGAATTTACTGACCATCACTTTTGTGGTCCTTCCAACCCAAGGGTGGTCCTACAGCAATTAGAAATGATACAAGCCAAATTCCAAGAATCAATAGCCTTGTTTTTTTCTTTGTTACAAGTCTAACATAACTTAGGGGTCTTGAAACACCAATGTACCTATAAAAATGAATAACAAAAAATATTAATGAGCCATTTTTAATTGTTCGAGTACATAACATGGTACACCAAATCTAAGACATTGTTTGGCTTTTGGATTTATTGATAGTCATTGCAAATGATAATCTAATCTAGATCTAATTGGTATAACTATTGGTATGACAGAAATTCGAGATATTAATCTATTTTCACCATAGAATTTGCAAATTAAAATCCTTAGAACACAATTCTTTTACAAGATCCAAGAAATGGATCAATCATAATAGAACATTCTCATCATAATGCTGATGATAGAATGATTTTTAAGACAATTATCCAATATGGTTTTTGTCTGGACATTATTTGCTTAATTATGTCTTATTATGAATAGTCATTGGAAATATCAATCTAATCAAAATCTTATAAAATTAAAAATTCATAAAAATGCTTAGCACTGGAGAAAGTATAAGCAAAATATAAGGTTAAGGGGCGACCATTAATCACGCAAGATTAATTAGGATATAGCAAGATATTACGAGTATTTATTTTTTACCTAATTGTTTTAAAAAAATCCAAAAATTTCAAAGAAAAACTAATTACAATTTTTCTCGTGATGTTTGGTGAGAGAACGGGGTTAATTTGAATATCACCAAGGGAAAGGGGGGTCCAAAAATCCTTTAAAAAATTATCATATGATTAATAGACGCCCTCTTAGTAGTGGATGTGTTTAAAATCAACTGATGATACCATCAAAACAATAATAGAACATTGTTATCATGATGCTGATGATGGAATGCTCATCAAGAAAATTGTTTGAATATATTTTTATCTTCTTATATATAAAATGATTCGCAAAATGTGGTAAGCGCATAACTCAACAACGCCTGGACCAATTTGGCCAATTCTTTTGTTAAAATGTTCGTTGAAGTCCAAGGATGGTTCTTACAGGAAGAAAAAATCGAATAATTGCAGGGAAAACCCTAAAAACAGCCCTTTTCTTTATCTCATACATCCTCCTTAACGATTATTCGATTTTGATAAATCTTTCTGAAGTTTGTTAAGGAAATTTTCTAGAATGTATGTGATTATAAAGTACTGGGATGTATGTGCAATATTGTGGAAATAAGTGGAAAAAATGGCAAAAAGCGACATGTCATTGTTTGCATTGAAAATAAATGAAAACTATCATCTGCCAAAAATTTCAATTTCCTTATGAACCTAGACAATATTAGAATATGTATAATAAATTTAAGATTATGAATAAGAAAAATGATATGTCTACATTATTATTGCCGAAAGGCAGCTGAGATGTCCCAAAAATTAAATTAATATAAAATGTATGGCAGATTGAATGATACACATATGAACAGGATTTAACAAATTAATTCACTTAAAATATGAAATTAAGAATTAATCAGGGCCGGTCCTACCTTTAATGCGATGCATGCGAAAAATACGAGCGCACGCCTTAGGGGGCGCCAACACAAGTTTGGGATATTAAAATTTCTTTATATAAATCATTTCTTTACATCTTATACTAATCCTTCCACAATATTTTTAAAATTCGTAAAAATTTCACTTTATAACAACAAATGGGAAAGTAAAGATGAATACATACAATTCGGCCCTCACGATATCGATTAGGAGAAGTTTAAGATGCAATTTTGAACATCTTAAATAATAAAAAATTAAATTAATTCAATCCAACATGAAGTATCAGTGTAATGTTATGGTTATGGTTATGTCATACCGTTTAAAAGACTTCAATTTCCAATATAGTGTGGGAATTAGGACTCATCATTTTATTTAAAGCAGTTATACATTTAACATCGCTGATGTTATAAATGTATATGCGATTTGGCGTGAAGAGTAATTTAAAAAACAATAATTATTATTTTCAGGTGAACGGTAAATATTCGTATATCATATTAAAAAATTGTAGACATGAGTACAGAACAACTCTGTCGGGTCATCTTGTACCTAATAATAATATTAAAGTAGTCCATAACATACCTGTCGACAGCAACTGCACACAAAGAAATAATACTGGCAGTACAACTGAGAACATCCAGAGTTGTCCAGAAACTGCACAAGACTTCCCCCATGTACCTAAACAAACCATAATAAAAAATCCTTCCTGAACCAGTTTCATTGTAGTTTTTTCCTACTTACCAATCTTTAGCAATTTCTCTAGCACAAGACAAGGGCAAAACAAAAAGCCCCAGAACTAAATCAGCTAAAGCAATACTGGCAATCAAATAATGCGAAGGAGGAGGCTTGTAGGTGCTCTCTTGAGGACACAATTTGCAGAAACTCCGACAACTACCCTGAAAAACCGACAGGACCACCAGGGCGTTCCCGAAGACTGTTGCCAAAACCAGGCAACACAAACCTGAAAAAAAGACAGATTAATATTAATTGATTAATTAATTAACCTATCTATTACCTTACCGATTATTTCCAGGATAATAAATGGATTATCCTGGATCCTTTTTTCGACAGATTCACGAAAACTGATATCAGGCAGTGTTGATAGATTTTGGATAAGTTCACAATTTATTTTGTTATAAAAACAAGCACTGGTGTTTAGGAATAAATTATACTGTTTATTGGATTCTATAAAAGCACTTTCGTTAAAGAATAAAAAGGTGTTGTTGTTAAAATACACTCCTGTCATCTTTATAAAAAATTGAAAGAAAGCTGATGTAAAAATGTCCTTTTTGTAAGTTCTGAGAAGATAATTGTATTAAAATTATTATACTTTAATAGAATTCTTAATAATTTAACAGGTCGTTAAGCGTATGTCGCTTGTAGATAATGCTCGTAGCAAAAGGGTGAAAATTTAAGATTCTCTTAAGAATTCCTCTACAATAAACACAAAAATTCGTACTAAATTTCGCCAATATAATTATGATTTTTTTTACAATTTCTTTCTACAAATTAATTTTTTGTACAACCCTGGCGAATAAAATATTTAAATACCACCGTATTATAGATTATTATGGATTATTTTATAAAATCTAGTAATTTAACGATAGCTACTATTTAGATACTTTTTAATATATAAATATAAGAAAAAGTGCACTTTTTTTATATTTTTGAAGAAACGGTTCGTCCGATCGTCTTTCAAATTTAATCAAAATAACTTCTTATCCAGTTCCATCAAATAGCTTTAAATTTTTGAAGTCGTTTTTGAAAAAAAGTCGAGGGAAGTACTTTTTCTTTGACAAACGATTCAGAATGACTTGAGACTTTGAAAATCATAACTATAAAATTAGCAAATTATAGTCATTAGTAGATGAATCAAAATTAGAAAACAGACTTCTTGCAAAAGTTGAAAATAATGAGTAATGGAAAATTTTTAAACATAAAAAAATAATGTCCCTTTTCAATAAACTCCTGCAAACGTAATATTAGTTCTAGAATATTATAAATTAATTATATAACACCTTTAACAATATAGTTTGATTCAAAACTAGTACGTTTATAAAATTCGTGTAAATATAAAACTTCGAAAAACATAGACGTCCTTGATAACAAAATCATACATTCTTGTACGGAATACTCACAATTAATAAACATATATTGTAATAAAATAATAAATAACACATTAACTACTAATTTAATTAATAATTCACACTAATTTAACTAATAATTGACTATTTTTAAAATAACTTATAAAGTATTAAAAACACCAAACGTATAAAATTAATAACATTTGAGTCATTACTTTTGTTTACATCTTTTTTACTAAAACTACATCAATTATTATTAATTTTTAAATTTATGTTGCATTGTGACTTATTAATAATTTTATTTAATTCACTATAAGATATTAGTTATGTAATTTTATTTTATATTAGTATTCACAAATCTTTGGTTAATGAAGCTAAATAAAATTTATATCATTAATTTTGTTACAAAAAGAACTTTATAATTCATTTGTCATCACTTCATTATTAGAAATTTTTAAATTTACTTCGAACTATATTTTATTTTACTACGTCATTATACTGTAACTTTATTTAAAATATTTTTAGTTATGTAATTTTATTTATTTTGTTGATGTATTTCCGACCGACGACAAAGACTTTATGATTCCAGGTCGAAAAACAGGATTCGAATGAACCTTACAGGTTGCAAAAATTATACATTTTTTGCGCACATTTTATGCGCAATTATATAAATACTTTTGAATCCCGTTAAGACGACCGTGCTCGATACGACTTCTCGCTTAATACGCCAATTTTTGCCTGCCTTTGTACTTTGTGTATAATATATACCTTATATACAAAATTCTTCTGTAATGATGTATGTAAATATACTCCTCCTAAACGATTATTCGGATTTTGATAAATCTTTCTGAAGTTTGTTAAGGGATTTTTTTAGGATGTATGTGATTATAGAAATATAGTTAGATTGTACAAATAAATAGATAAAATTGCAAAAAACGACATGTCATTGTTTGATATTGAAAATATTTGAGGCGTTGTTTGGCATTGAAAATAAATGAAAACTGCCATCTGCCAAAAATTTCAATTTACTTATGAGCCTAGACAATATTAGAATATATATAATAAATTCATGATTATGAATAAGAAAAATGAAATATCTACATTATTATTGCCAAAAAGCAGCTGAGATGTGCCAGAAATTAAAATAATATAAGATACAGTATATGTATGGCAGATTGAATGATACACATATGAACAGAGAATATGACGAATTATTTCACTTAAAATATGAAATTAAGTAATAATCTGGGTCGGTCCTATCTTGAATGCGACGCATGCGAAAAATACGAGCGCACGCGTTAGGGGGCGCCAACACAAGATTTGGATATGAAATTTTCAATATAGTTTTTTTTTTTCAATATAATTCAAGACAGAAAAAAATTGGCATGCGGGGGCGCTGAGGACCCCAGGAGCGCCCCTGGTGATAATGTATATTAAATTATTACTAAGAAAAATGTAAGTTAGATATTATAGTTGAAGAGTAATTTAAAAAACAATAATTATTATTTTAAGGTAAACGGTAAAGATTAGTATAGGATAAAAAATTGTAGACGTGGGTACAGGAAATCGTTTTCTACTATATATATTGTCCCTATATTGCATAATAAGCTTTCTCGCATAATACGCGTTATTTATGTAACTGTTCAAAAGGCAACCCATTGGTTGACCTAATCCCTAATTATTTTCATATTAGTAACAGCAATCAAAACTTAAAACATATGAGCAATTATGGCTTTAGAGTTGGCAACCCAACGGTTGACTAATTGAAAGATGATATTTATTTTATTAAAGTCAAATGTATATAACTGTTTATAATTAATATTACTTTAATTATTTTTAAAATATTCTATAATATTATTAATCATCGATAATTCATAAAATTACAATAAATTATCAATTAGTTATCGATTACCAAGAACGATCCTATGTTTTTCAAGTTTTCCTAAAAATATTATTAATGTCGAATTATTATTAATATAATGAGTGTGTTGATTTATTATTTCACTTCGGAAATTATCATGAATCGTTTTTATTGATAAAACTTTTAATCTATTGTGTATGAATAGGCATTCCGTATACGAACACATCGACGGGCGCAGCCGGACAGGGCCGAACGAGGGAAATAATAAATTAGGTGTAGGTGGCGAAAGGAGAAAAAATGGCTCGTCCACACACATACATACACACACACTTGTTGCAAAATTAGGTCGCATTCGATTCAGAATGACTTGAAACGTCGAGAATAAATAAAATTAGCAAATAGGGTTTTTTTTAGCAAAAATATAAACTTCTCCTTCGAGATGTTAACTAAGTGTAAGTGGCAATTTGCCTTAAGGCAAGTTGCATAAACTTTCCCTGAAACGTGTAAATAGTCGACTAAATCAATAAGAAATCAGATTTCATATTTTTTCAAATAGCAACAATTTTTTTTTATTATAGCAAGGGGCGCTGTGCAAAAAAGTTTGGAAAACATTACAAGATTAGGCTAGTTTAGTCGTTAAATTATAATAAAATCTCAAAAAATTATCACACAAAGTTCTCAGAATATTAAGTCAGTAAGGTTAGTTTTTGTGAAACTTACTTAAGTTTACTTAAGTCAGTAAGGTTAGTTTTTGTGAAACTTGTTTTTTTCAAGATAATTACTAAGTCAGTAATGTTACTTTTTTGTAACAAGTTTTTAGAAAAATGCTTAATCAGTAAGGATAATTTTTTGAAACTGGTTTTAAAAAAATACTAAGTCAGTAAGGTGAGTTTTTGGGAAACTAGTTTTTAAAAAAATACTAAGTCAGTAAGGTAAGATTTTGGGGAACCAGTTGTTAAAAAATTACTAAGTCAGTAAGGTTAGGTTTTTGTAACTAGTTTTCGAGAAAAATGTTCCGCACGTGTACTTACATATAAAGATATTTTTGCGTAATTTATATGAACGAAATCGCAAGATACGTTATTAATTTTTATTTCAGAGATATACGAGGATACTGTTCAAAAAGTACCCGGAATTTTCGTTTTTTCAAAAAAATATTTATTTATTCGTCTACATTAATGTGGTCCCCTTCAAAGTAGTCCCCCTCAGATATAATACACTTATGCCAGCGTTTTTTCCAATTTTCGAAGCACCCTTGATATTCATTTTTTGATATGTCCTTGAGCACTCTCAGCGATTTTCTTCGATCGAGGAAAACCGCCGTCCTTTCATGGGTCTCTTCAACTTTGGGAATAGAAAAAGTCACACGGAGCCATATCTGGTGAATTTTTGCACTTTGCAACACTTTATTTCATTTTTTACGCAAAATTTAATACAAATTCTTTGACTTTTCAATTCTTCCATTGTAAAAATCGCCGAGCTCAGAAAAACACGTCGAACCTTAGCGACTACCACAGACAAAGTGAACAGTGAATATAGCTGAAAATTTCATCATACTTTAGGGGCATGTATACCAACACAATAAAAAAAAAATTTTGACAATCAGACACTCCAGACCCGCGAAATTTAATTATTAGTAATTCCGGGTACTTTTTGAACACACCTCGTATATAGGCTATATTGAAACACAAAACATCTTACCTCGTATCAAATATATTATCACAATTGACTTCAAAGTTTTCTTTTGCCTGTAGATAAAACTAATAATTATAAAGGTATTGTAACTATTTATTTATTAATTGAGCGTAAATAACACGAATTATGTACACATAAAAATTTAACAACTTGAATTATTGTAAATGAAACGTCAAATTCAAATACAAAATGGCCGGTTGTTGAACAAAACCCCAACAAATAAATATTTTTGATACAAAAATTTCAATATTTCTAATCTTGTATATACATATATTAAATACCAATACGTTTTCATATATGTTTATAATCAATAAAACAGCTTTATCAACGAGTTTAATGTAAATTTGACTTACCATTAGTTGATGCATCTCAGGAATTCTTTCAAAAATGCTCTCACTACACAATTTTTATTGATAATTACGACAGAGTTATTAAATAAGACTAAAAGTTAAGAATTAACAAAATACACGTCCACAATCACCGTATTTTTATTAAAAATCATAAATTAAACTCTCACAAACTATGTACATCCGACATTTTGATTTTAAAGCGTCAGTTCAGTTTTAAACAATCTTCACAGTTGTGTCTGCGCAGGTGCACCAACATTAAGCTTGTATCTGCAAATATTGTTAATCAATTTTATTAATTTATATTCATAATAAAAGTAAAAATATATTGATATTAAACTATAAAAACATAAATATATTTAATTTATATACACAATATAAGAAATAATAAAAATGTTGAGTTCAAAATATTTATTTGCATTGTTGGCGTTTTGTCCAACAGTCGGCCATTTTGTATTTGAATTTGACGTTTCATTTACAATAATTCAAGTTGTTAAATTTTTATGTGGACATTTATATGTTATATTACTTTTAATTAATAAAGTGTAAAAAAACATTTATAGTTATTAGTTTTATGTGCAAGCAAAAATAAAACGATGAAGTCAATTTTGAATTTCAAACATTCGACACGAGGTAAGATGTTAATTATTATACATAACCTCAAACCACTCGTGCATTAATCTTTCTTTTCTTTATATAAATTAAGCTATATATAATTAATATAACAATCTATACTTGTTAGTATCTTTGAGTGACGTTTTTTTACACATAGTTAAATCTACTAATAATTATAAATTAATATATTGATTTTATATTGCTTTGTTATTTTTTCTTTGGGGATGTGTCAAACCTTTCCTTATTTTTGTCACATTTACATCAATACTCTTTATTTTAATACTCATTATTGTTTTCAAAATCAGACATCTAGGACACAATATCTATACCCAAGTAACAAGTTGACAAAATGTTATGTATATTTATTTAATAAAATATATGTTTTTGAAACAGAAAAGCCAAAATGCCACTTACGCCCATTTTATTTCCTCTGTCCATCGATTCCGGCCCTGTTCTAGCCACTAAATCTATATCTAATCTATATTCTAAAATACAGAGAACACCTTTAGTCAATTTTCACACCTGACATTAACATAGTGGACTACTAATTTTGGACAACGTTTGTGATAAGTTTTTGATTTTTTGTGAAAATTAATAATAAAAATTCATGTAAGTATAAAAATTACCTAATTATTATAATATAATTATTTAAATAATTAATAATGTTATTACGTAATCAATGCGTATTTGTTTCGATGTCGATTTTAAATTATAAATCAGTGATGACCGTAACCATTGATAAAAAATTTTTGTACATATTAAAATTTTTGAATTAATTTATTTTACATAACATAATAAATTCCAAAAAAATTGAAATTTTGTTATTCAATGCATTTCAAGATCTTCTGATCAAAAATGCACTTATATGTATAATATGTATGTTAAGATCTGCATTTTTGGAGAGAACGTCTGTAACAATTTTGATGGTTAAAAAAACACTCGATTTATATTTCTTTCGTTTCTAGTAAAGTCTTTCTGGTGTTGTAATCAAAAAAAGTACTCATGTGTATATATGTATATAAGAATCTGCATTTTTTGGAGAGAACCTCTGTACCAATTTTGATGGTTCAAGAACCCTCGATTTGTATTTTTGGAAAAAACTTCTTTCGTTTCTGGTAAAGTTCGTTCGGTATTCTGATCAAAAAACGTACTCATGTGTAAATATGTATATTAGGATCTGCATTTTTCGGAGAGAACGTTTGTACCAATTTTGATGGTTCAAAAAACATTCGAATTGTATTTTCAAATAGATCTTTAGTTTTTGGTCAAGTTCTTTTGTTTTTTGTAAAGACATCTTTCTACATTCCAGATTGCTATTTAACTGTAAATTTTATCGATTTATCGATTTTATTTTAAAATCGAGGAAAAAGTTAATTGAAAATGTACCTAGGAGTAAGTAGCATTTTGCCTTAATAAGTATTTATATTTAGCACAATTTAACTATGAAACAGGTAATTTTTCTAATTTCGGTGTCAAACGATTCAGGATGATTCGAAACGTCCAGAAAACATTAAAATTTGCAAATATTACATGAACAATTTCTTCGGAAAGTTAAACAAAAATATTTTGAATGTGAGACTAAGATTTTTTCATCAGAATACAGTGATATCACAACCAGAATGTATTATTTGTTTGTATATGCTTTGTATACAATCTCAAGTTCTTAAGTAGTACTAAAATAAACGATTTGAATCATCATTCCATTTTTAACATAATTTTTTTATATTTTTCTTACAAAATCAAAATTTTGTCCAAAATTCGAAACATTCATACTAAACTATACAGTTTTTTTCTAATATAGGAAGCTTCTATACACCACTAGTTTATATTCTATAAAATTTCATATAAATATAAATATGTAAATATAATTCGATTTTTTTTTCAGAATGTTCCTTAAAGCAGTGCTGGTCTTGTCCCTTTTGGCAGTGATGACAAATTGCCAAAACGAGGCCAATAACAGAACACTGATAGACAGAGGATTCATGTTTAGACAAGGAGAAGGCAAGTTTTTACAAACTATCATATTATTTATTTATAATTGTTAATAAAAATAAATATATAAACAAATCTTTTCATTTTGCATTCGAAGAAGTTCAGGATTTGGATTATAAATTAATAAAACAGGGTAAGGTAAACAATAATTATATATTATTGATTACAAGAAATAATATTTTCTATAACAAATAACTATGAGGATTTTGTATAAAATCTACAAATCTGTATCCTTAGAAACGTTTCTTAAGGATCTCCTTAGATCACTTTTCTTAGCAATTTTTGTAAAAGATCTTTAAAGATAAATTTCCTCAGAAACACTCCAAAGATGACTATTCTCAGAAACGTTTCTTGAAGAGATCTAAAAGTCACTGTCTTCAAGAACTTTTTTTAAATATCTCCTAAGATCACAGATTTTAGCAACATTTGTTAAAGATCTCCAAAGATAATTATCCTTAGAAACGTTTGTAAAAGATCTCCAAACATAATTATCTTTAGGAACATTCCTTAAAGATCAACAAAGATCACTCTCCTCGTAAACATTTTTTAAAGATTTCCAAACGCCACAGTCCTTTACTAAGTTCCTAAATCGCAATTATTATTGCGTGAGTTCTTTAACTTGCCTTAATGCAAAATGACACTCACACCAAATTTTATATTTTTTTTTAGAATTGAATGGTTATTGCCAAAAAACCACTGATTGCAGAGACTTCGCCTACGACTGCATTTTAGACCAGTGCGAGTGCAGGATGAGATACATGATCGAACCGAAAGAAGGAAAAACTTGCGTTGGAGGTAAATTCGAAAAAAAACAGTATTTATTTTAATTTATTATTAATCAATTAATTTTTATTAATTTTCAGCCGTAACTCAACAATGTTACTACGATATCCATTGCATAGAAAACGCATACTGTCACGACCAAAGAGAATGCAGATGCAAACCTGAATTTCCTGTCGTTGAAGAAGATGGATTCAAATGTTCAGGTAATTATAAAATACAGTAAAACTATGTTAATACAATTTCTCGCATAATACGCTGCCCTAATAGGTATAATATACCTATCCCGCATGAGACGCGTTTTAACTAGAAAATCATCTTAATTAGATAAAATATGATAGTTTTAATGTACATAATTGAATTCCAGGTGCTGCAATGATGGGCGCATCAGGAGTCATCATCAGCTTTTTGATGACAGCATACAAATTGTTGTAAAATTAGAAAAAACTACACACTCATGTATTTGTACACTCAGTATTAGCAATAAACAATAAATAACAATTGTTTTAATTTGAAACATCTAATGTTGTGTATTTTATAGTTGAATTTTTGTTATTTTGTAAGAAGTTTTCATAAAACTTACGCGTTCTCATTCTCTCTCTCTCTCTCGAACATATATTCCCTCTCTTTCTCGAACACGTACTCATTCTCCCTTTATCTCATTCTTACTCGCTCTCTTTCTCGCACACTTACTTATTCTATATTTCTCGCATTCATACTGGCTCTCTTTCTCGCATACACATTCAGGGACTAACTCTTCGATAAAATAAAAATGTTACAGCAAGGCTATGTTACGGGCCTATCTTCGTATGAATTGGTAGTAAGAACTGTCAAAAAAGCTATGTATTTACTGTTCGATTAGGCGTTTTTTCACATAAAACCTTATTATACATGTACTCATTTTCTGTCTTTCGTACATGTATTCCTTCTCTTTCTCACACACGTACTCAAACTTCATAATAGCATTCGTATTCGTTCTCTTTCTCGAACATATACTGAGTCTCTCTTTATCTCATTCGTACTCGCTCTCTTTCTCGCACACGTACTCATTCTTTCTTACTCGTATTCTGACAGGCCCTCTTTCTTCTACATATATTCAGGAACAAATTCTCCGATAAAATAAAAATGTTACGGCAAGGCCATGTTACGGGGCTATGTTCGTATGAATTGGTGGTAGTAATAAACTGTCAAAAAGCTATGTATTCACTGTGCGATCAGGCGTTTTCTTTAGATAAAACCTAATTTCACGTATATGTGTTATTAATGAAACTGTTTGTGCGTTTTGGAAGTTAGGTTATATATGTAAAACCTAATAAACGTCTTAAACTTAGATTTTTTGTCAGTTGAAGATAGGTTTGACATATGATTGTAACATAGCCTTGCCATAACATTTTTATTTGATTGGGTTGAATTGACACCTTAAACTCTCTTTCAGGCATTTGTACTCGCTCTCTTTCTTGCACGTACTCATTCACACTTTATGACATTCGTACTCGCTCTCTTTTTTGCGAACTCAAACTTTGTTTCTGGCACTAGTTCTCTTGTCCAAAGCAAGTACTTATTCTCACTATCTCTTTCGCACACTCCTCTCTTTCTCCTACAGGTACTCAAATCTATTTCTAGTATGCCCTCTTTCTCGCACACGTAATTTCGCTCTCTTTCTGGTACCCGTACTCGCTTACTTTCTTGCACACGTACTCATCCTCTCTTTCTCGCATTAATATTATACTTGCTCTCTTACTCGCACACCTACTCATTCTATCTTTGTCGCATTGGTACTCACTCGAATCAAATGTTTTTATGCAATAATAATGATATTTTAACCTAAAAACTAGGTAAATTTAAAGTTAATTTATATTTTTGAAAAATATTTTTAACATTTGTTACTTTATATAAGAAGAACAGTGCAATATTTATCGTTCTCAATCGATATCTGCAGAAAAATGTACTGCTTTGTCTGCCCTTAAATAGCACAAACGGTTTTAAAAAAAAAAAAAAATTACGATTTTTAGAAATATATGATCTCTCTCTCTCGCACACGTACGAGTACGTGTCATTCTGCATCTCTCTCATATTCCGCCACACGTATTCGCTCTCTCACTCACACTCGTGCCACACGTACTCTCGCACAAGTACTCGCTCTCTCTTTCTCGCATATGTACTCGTACGCTCTCTCACTTGCACAATCTTGCCTTAAAATATTATAGGACTATGCAAAAATATTATAGTAATATATTTTTTTATATAATTTTATAAATCAATCAATGGCAATGTGTTTACGAATCAACTAATTATCTACATATATATAAAATAAGTCGGGTTTTCCTTCCTAACAATTTTGCATTCGTTGGAAAGGTCTCGGGCTCCGCAAGGTTTATAGCTAAGAAAATTAGTGGTGCATGGCATCGTGCCTTAATGCAAATTTATTAACGCACCGTAATTAAAAATTCGAATAATGACATTAGTAAGAATTATCAGAATTATGCATGGTTAAGTCAACGAGCAATTCTTGCCACAAAGAAAAATGATGTCAACGCACCGAATTTCACCATTCAATCAAAAATTGCTGGCGATTTGGTGACATACCAATGATTCCGACTGGTCTTCCGTTTGGCTTCAAACGATTGCAATTTCCTGTTCGCCTTGCGTTCGCAATAACAAGTCGCAAGGCCAATCGCTTAGTATTTGCGGGATAAATTTCAAATAGATTATTTATAAAATCATTGTTTTTCACATGGACAGTTATACGTTGCCTGTTCACGAGTTGGGAAATCATCCGCTTTGTTTGTGTTAACGTCAGACCAAAAAACAAAAAATGTGGTTTACCAAAGAGCACTTCAATGAAACGGATAATTTGCTGATTCACTTTCATTGACTTAGAGAAGTTCAACTAAAAAACACTTCATTTTTGTAATCGAAATAAATTAATTACTGTTGTGTAATAAAATCAAATTTTTCCTTTTCAAATATGAAACAAACAAAAAATTTATTCATCTTTCTCACGAAACCATCTGGTGGCGAAACGGAGTTCGTCATGAACCTCCCGATGTTTAAATCAACAAAACTTCAATAATAATTAAACAAACAATAATAAATAATTTGTTCACCTTTTTAAAATTGACATAACAGTCCTTTATCCCTTCGGAGCCCTAAATGGGGCCCTGTCTTCTGATTTAGAGACAGAAGTGGGGCGTTCCGTGTTATCAAAGACTACGCATCGCGCTCTCGACTTATTCGTATTTTGAACAAACTGATAAAAGGACGTACTTTGTTTATATTTGGAAAAAAACTTTGAAAAAAGTGATAAATATTTATTAATAAAAAAAATCTATAAGTGATAATACAGTTATTAAAAACAAAGTGATTAGTTACATAATTTGGTGTCATATGTAATTAAAATAGAATTTTGGTAAAAGTTGGAAATATTTATATGATTGTGTTTTTGATAATTAATAAATATATATTATAAATATAAACAATTAAAGACAAATTCAAAAAACAAAAAGAAGATAAATCTAATAAATTTTAAAACAAGTGTTTGAATTTTTCCATAATTTTTTGAAACAATTTGAAAACATTAAAATTAATTAGGCTCGAGATTTTGTATTAAATAATTTATCTTGAAATTAATTTAATAAATTTACCTAATTAACCATTTTTAATATTATTTTAAGTAAACGAACAATTAGAGTTACTGTGAAAAAAATTAACAATTTTAAAATAACTATTTATAAATAATTACTGTTGATAATTAAAAAAAATATTTGTGTTAAGTGGCTCATAAATTAGTGCTAAATTCAGGAAACTTATTAAAAACTATTAAATTTGATTTGTTGTTAAAAAAACAATGGATCCTGGCCGATTCATCCAATGGATTACTGGTAAGAATAATTTTTATTGAATATAAAATATATTATTAATAAATTGTACCAATAAAATATATATTATCGCCAGAAAATCCGATTTGCTAATTTTGTGTCTCAAGTCATTCTGAATCGTTTGACACCAAAATTGGAAAAAGTATGATTGTAACATAGATAGATGTTTCGTCAACGTTTTCTGAAAAACGACTGAACCGATTTTTAAAATTAAAAAAAAGCCACGAAAAGCCATTTGATGAAGCTCAATAAGAACTAGCATTTACTACTTTTGTAAGACGTTTAGACTAGCCGTTTCTTTAGAATTAGCAGAAACGTGCTAAATTTTTCGTCCACAAAAATCCTTAACCAATTTTGAAAATTCAATCGCTGTTCCAAAGAAAATAGTCCTGATTTGTTTTTGACAAAGATCAGTCAAGCCGTTTCTTCGTAATTAATGAAACTTGCACAGTGATAAGATTCATTGTCTAAAGAAATGAACATCCTAAAATGTTATAGGCCTACGAAAAATTAATTACAAGTAAAATCTTATTGCTAATGGCGATTGATTTACACATTCAAGAAGAATTTATGCAACTTGCCTTAAGACAAAATGCCACTCACACCCAGTTAAGATAGAAATCAGTTTATCCCTTTTACGAGCAAGTTAAATTAGCTGATCAGTAGAGACTTTAATGAAATCTAAATTTACTTTGCTCAACAGTAGAGTTCTTTTAGCATAAACCATAATAAATATTATAAAATGTTAACAGTGTTGCAGCAATGCCCACAAAAGTCATTTTCATTCGAGATCCATAACCTCAAGCAACGATCTGATATACTGCTTGATATCAAGCTTGGCCGGAATGTAGATAGAACCCGGAATTTTCCATATTTCTGATCCTTATTTTTGTATGTAGATTATATTCATCAGTTATTGTTAGTGTGGCCGAATATATGTTGCAGCAATGCCCACGAAACGCCATTTTGATTTAAAATCTATAACTTCAAATGACAATCTGATATCATACTGCTCGATATCAAGCTGATTAAGGTTGACGTAGAATCTGGGACTAACTTCTAGCTAGTCCACTAGTAGTTAGTATTTGTCGATAGTTTTTAAAGTCCATATCTCTGATCCCTTTCTTTGTATGTAGATTATATTTATTGGATATTATTTGTATCTCTAATGGTGTTAGTATATGTATGTTGCAGCAATGCCCACGATACCACATTTATTTGAGATCGATAACTTCAAGTAACAATCTCATATCATACTGCTTGATATCAAGCTGATCAAGGTTGGCATGGAATTCTGGACTAGGTTTGCTAGCTAGCCCACGTCTATAACCTTCACATTAGTAGTTAGTATTTGTCTAAATTTTCTTAGAATAAGAGTCCATACCTCTGATCCATACTGATGTAGTATTGACGATATAGGGAAATTTAATTGAAGATATTTTCCCAAGTAAGACTAAATCAAATCATGTTGTTTATTTATATTAAATCGTCTGACAATAACTATGTTGTTCGCATGAGAATAAGAAATTTGCAATTCAAATTTCTGCTTCTGTTCGAATTGTTTGTTTAACTCGTTGACCCCAACGAGGTAGACCGTGACCCCATCGCAACAGAAAAAAAAAT